AGTAATTAGAGCTCAACACCAATGAACCACCTCCTTCCAATAATTACCATAAGCCCAAAATCGTGGACCATAAGCCAACCCGTGAACCAGCAACAGCCAAGGACCAATCAAGCTAGCAAACCAATGGTCTACCAAGCCCCAAGCATAACCTACCATGATTATTGGATGCCTTCCATCATTGGATAGCTAAAAAAGAAAAAAAATATAAAAAACTACATTAACATACTAATGTTTAACATAAAATAAAAATACATAATATTTGATAGCATCACTTCCCAATCTAAGACCATAGTATTGACAGAGCTATCAACCGTGCCTTTTCTTCCTTCCATGATAGTGCTCAACCTTGTTCTTCAATCCTGGGCAATATTGAATATTGAAGTCATATCCTAACAACTTGGATAATCATCTCTGATGCTCCTCATTCATCATCCTCTGCTTCAGTAGAAACTTCAAACTCCTTTGGTTTGTCCTCATGATAAAATGTTGCCCCAACAAATAGGGTCGCCACTTTTGGATGGCTAAGACAATTACCATCAACTCCTGCTCGTATACAGACTTGAGCCTCGCTTTGGTGGTGAGCACCTGACTGAAATAAGAAATGGGCCGATGGTCCTGCATGAGCATTGATCCCAGTCTGTATCCTGATGTATCCGTCTCCACCACAAATGGTTTGTTGAAGAAATGAAGTGCTAATACTGGCACGCCGGTCATGACTTTCTTTAATGCTTAAACGCCTGTGTTGCTGCTTCCCCCCAATTGAAACTTTCCTTCTTCACCTGCTCAGTCAATGGTCATGCTATCATGCCATACCCTCATACAAACTTCCAGTAGTACTCGGTGAGGCCTAAAAATCTTCTCAACTCCTTCAGGTTCTTAGGTAAAGGCCAATTCAACATAGCCTTAATCTTAGACTTTGCTGCCACCCCTGCTTTGCTCGCTATATGTCATAGATACTCTACCTATGGCTATGCAAAGAATATTTCTTCTAGTGCTCCCTTAAAGTCTCCATTACAATTCTCAAGTGACCCACATGCTCTGCCTCCGTACAACTATAGATCAAGATGCCGTAAAAAAATACCAAGACAAACTTTCTGAGGTAGGGTTGAAAATCCCGATTCATGAGGGATTGAAAAGTGGCTGGAGCGTTGGTAAGGCCGAAAGGTATCACCAAAAACTCTTAGTGACCTTAGGAGTCCTGAAAGTTGTCTTGTGTATATTCCCCGACTTCATTCTGATATGGTGGTACCTTGATTTCAGGTCAATCTTCTAGAAGATGATCGTCCCAAACAGTTCATCCAACAACTCATTAATTACGGGGATAGAAAACTTGTCCAACACAATTTCCCCTTTTAGGGCCCTATAATTCACGCAAAACCTCCAACTGTTGTCCTTCTTTTTCGCTATTAAAACTATGCTGGAAAAGGGGCTCACACTGGATATAATAATCCATACCTCAAGCATCTCTATGACGAGCCTTTCTATCTCATCCTTCTGATTTTGTGGGTATCGTTATGGTCGAACACTAATAGAAGAAGCTCATTCCTTCAAGTTGATGGCGGGCTTGTGCTCCTGGGGTGGCGGTAATCTGCTATGATATTGAAAAATCTCAGGAAACTGCTTTAGAAGCTGATGTACACACTCAGAGACCTTGACCCGCTCTGAATCTTGAACCTCCTCCGGGCTCTGCAGCTCCACTAAGTAGCTCAGCCTTACTCCCTGTATTGCCTTGACCATAGTTTTGAGTGAAACCATTTTTCTGCACTGGCTGGCATCTCCTCTCAACACCGCCTTCTTCCCCTCCACCTGAATCTCCATAGTCAACGACTGCCAGTCGACCTGTGTATCCCCGATCGTCTGTAACCACTTCATCCTTAGGATCACATCAGTGATCTCCAAATCCAAAGGAAGAAAATTTTCTACTATATGCATGCCCTAGAGTGTTAGCAACAACCTTCTGCAAATCCCCCTACTCCTCTCCACCTTTCCTGTTCCTATCATGACTCTAAAGCTCCATGTATCTGCCAACTTTAATCCGAACTAGTCTATGACTTGATTGGAGATGAAGTTATGAGTAACACTACTATCCAACTAGACAACCATTGGCTGCTCCTTGATCTGCCCCCTTACCTTCATGGTGTGACTTGGAGTAAATCCCGCCATTGAATTAAGGGACACTTTCGCCACATCAAGGCATAAGTGCTCCTCTCCTGCTTCTGCTTCCTCCACTAGATCCTCACTGTCGGTCTCCTCATTACAAACTATAAGGACTTGGAGTGTGCGGTCTTTGCACTGATGGCCTGATGCATATTTTTTGTCATAGTGGAAGCACAGACCCTTCACTCTCTTGTCCTGAACCTCTGCCTCTATGAGGCGCTTGATGTTGGCCCCGGGGCGAACTTCCCCACTCTTCTCCCTTGGTGCCTCCCGCTGAACTAACACTGTCTGGTTTTCGATGCCAGTAAAGTCGATGTACTTTTATAAGAGCCTCCCGCTACACCGCTCTTACTGATCCTCTCCATCTATCTCTAGTCTTTTGCTATATGGGCTAGGTCCATCGCTTCCTTTACCCCTTCGATCTCAGCAATCGGAGGTTCGCTCGTATGTCGGGCTTGAGGCCCTTCACAAAATTTTCCTCCAACACCAATTTCGAAATCCCCCTCAACTGCCCTGACTGCAACTCAAATCTCTCCCTGTACTCCATGAAAGTCCCCTTCTGAGTCAAGGCAAGGAATTGCTCGTGTATATCCCCTTCCTGAATTGCTCGATAATTTTTCGATAAGCAATCCTTAAACTCCTCCCATGAATGGATTGGATATCTAGCCTCCCTCCTCTGGAATCAAGCGTGGGCATTCCCCTCTAGACATAGCCCTGCGGCTGTAAGCTTCTCCTCCTCTCTCAGCCCATTCACTGTGAAATACCTCTCCACCCGCTATATATACCAATGGGCATCCTCCTCTTTGAATACCGACATCTTTAACTTCCTCACCTTAGCATCTCCACTCCAACTTCCTCTCCTGCCGATGGTTCTCCCCGTGTATCGAGGGTGGGAATCCCACCTTTCTTTCATACCCCTCTCATGACCCAATCACAATGGCTTGGTCCATCCCCCTCCTCCAGTAGTCCACTCCCCTAGCCCGAAAGGCCTCTCGTAGGGGTTGGTCACCCTACCACTTTCACCATAAAACTCCCTTCCCGCTGTCCCTCCATAAAGAAATCCTATTATGCCCCTTATCAGAGCCCTAAGAGGTGGCTCTTGATGGAAGAAACTCTCATCGTTGAACTCTTCTCGCACGATATCTTTTTTCTTAGATTTGGCCAAGAAAATTTAGGTCAAATCGTGGCTAGGATTATCAATCGGAACCGCCAATAAAGTTTTGGATTTCATCTCAATGAGCTTCCTCATATTTCCTCCATCCCTCCAAATCAATTATCCATGGTTGAAAACCTTCCTTCTATGGTTGAAATCCTCCCATATATGGCTGAAAATTTCTCATTCATCATGGATTTGATTTGCTCCACTTCACCTTCCAATGCATCCCCCTTTTTTGTTGCCATCTCTCAAAAGTCTAGCTTTGATATCAATTTGATCCGTTTTGGAAGTAAAAACAATAAATACAACAAGTAGAAACTGCAGAATATGAAGATAAGGATTGATTTTTGATTATATTTTTAATAAGAAAGAAAAATACAAATGACTATTCAAGAGGTAGGTCGGCTATCCCACAAAGCTTGGGCATTGCTAGGAAACTCAAAAAGAAAACTACAGCATAAACAAATTGCATAAATCTGAAATAACAACATAGTTAACCCTAAATAAACTCCCCTAATTCCCTCCCAAATCAGTCTCCTTTTCCTAAATGATTCCCTATTAGATTTGAATTCAAATTGAATCTCTTTCTCTAAATAATTCCCTCTTTATTTTAATTAAATCTTCTTAAATATTTCTCTCTTGATCTCTTTTCCTTACATGTTGAATTACAACTTTCCTGGGCCCCACAAGGGGGGGTGGGGACCTTTCTGCTGCTCTGGTTCCGGCCCAACATCTTTTTGGGTTCGACTGATCATATGTGGGCGCGGGCAGCTGGCTCCCGCGTGCAAGGGACGTAACAGACACCTTTCGAGTAGGTGTAGACTCTTTAAAAAGAAGAAAGGGAAGAAGAGAGACTAGAGAGGAGAAACCATAAATATTTTCATTCAATGCTTTTTCTTATAATAATTGGTGTATTTATAATACTTGGATAGACCAAATTTATAATATAAAATTGGTCTACACAACCAAACTTATAAGAAAGATTAGACTAATGCTTTATTACATATATAGATCCATTTGTCATTTATGCTTATGGAATGTGTTTGTGCCTTTGTCTTTGGTAAGCTTCTTAGTTTTTGATTGTCCCGCCATATTCGTTGCCCATGCTTAGCATATAATTTTTGGATCCAACATATGCTGATGTCTAATAGGCTGTATCTGCAAGATAGGTCAATTGTGGCAGGCAATGTTGAGGATGGTACTCTGGCAGTCCCTGCCTAGGATTAAATCAAAGAAAATTAATGTTATATATTATCATAGGTAGGATATCCAGTGATATTTTCATAAGCAAAACTGTTTTACTAACATTATTTATATGATTAATGTTCTGTTTTCTAGCACCCTTTCAGTCAATTGTACAGAGAAGAGGGTCTACCATGTGATGTTTCTTCCACCAATTGGGGTCAAGAGATGGCTTGAAACATGAAACTTTAACCCTGCATTCAAACAAGTTGTTCTGGTAGTCTGAACCCCGAGACCTCCATGTCACAATGCAGCCAGTCTAACCGGTTCTCAAGCTCCACCCTGTGAATTGCTTGACTAGTTTCACATTCTATTTTGTTGTCCGTCATAAGTAGTTTGTTGTGTATTAACTTCTTAATATGAAGTCTGTCGAGCACTCTTGCTTTAAAATTTTATTTGCCTGATCATCTGTCAACCATTTGTTTTACTTATAAACTACATACCACCCTTTTTTAATTCTTCATATTTTTATTTGTATTTCATTAAAGCTGAACACATCCCTTTAATCCAGAATATGGTGTACTATAAGATATCTCATGTTGATCACCGGGTTTCTAATCCGGAGCAATGTATTGCAAGTGATTTGCCAAGATTCTGTTCAGAATTGAGTGATGTTGTACAAGAAGATCTCACTGCAGTGATGGATGGTCTGCTGTACACCTGGCGTCTTTGTTCTTATGCTAGTCCAAAATACGTTCTCTGGATTCTGGTACTTATTTATTACATTTTCAATGTCTAACAAGTGTTATTGTCATGTTGTGCTATTTTCAAAACTTAGTTAAATATAATTTAAAGTCAGCTAGTAGTTTTGTAAGAAACAAATTTACTTGCTTTTATAGGCATATGTGATAGGTGCCGGATCTGTTATCAGAAATTTCTCTCCTGCCTTTGGAAAATTGATGTCCAAGGAGCAAGAGTTAGAAGGAGATTATCGGCAGCTTCATTCAAGGTTGAGGACGCATGCTGAAAGCATAGCTTTTTATGGCGGTGAAAAGAGAGAAGCATCTCACATAAAGAAAAAGTTCAAGACTCTTGTGCGGCATCTCAACCTTGTTCTCCATGACAATTGGTGGTTTGGGATGATTCAGGACTTTCTTCTGAAATACCTTGGTGCCACTGTTGGAGTCATCTTGATTATTGAACCCTTCTTTGCTGGTAATCTTATGCCGGATTCTTCTACACTTGGTAAAGCAGAAATGTTGAGCAATCTCCGCTATCACACAAGTGTGATAATATCTCTCTTTCAATCTTTGGGCACGCTATCTATTAGCGCCAGAAGATTAAATCGTCTCAGGTCATTCTTCAATCTTTTGAATCATAGTTTTGTGCTTTTTTGTTAGATTTTATATTTCTGTAGTATCTATTTTATTCTAAAATATGAATGCTTATTTCAGCATGTTTGTGAATTTTTGGTAATATTGAGCTGTATTAGAGCGGGCTGACCTACATTGAAAATTAAAGATTTTGATTTCAAGTTGAGCCAAATTTGAGTCAAGATCAAAAGTGATTGATTTTGAGTTAAGTTTTAGGCTGATTTGTGTGAAACCTATTAATTTTATAAAAATTTTATTATCATCAAGATTATTATCTATGTACATGGTAATATATAGCTTACACATGCTATTCATGTAGTGGTTATAACTTATAAATGCATTATATGTATATTTATGTGTTAAATGCACACATTTGTGTGAATAAATCATATATTTAGTTGATTTCTATCTAAATCAAGCTAATTTTAGGCGAGCCATGAGTTGCAATAAATCTATCTTGATTTTGAGGCAATTATAAATTGCTTGACCATAGAGTGAGTTTTATGTTAGGGACAAAAAACAGCTTTGTTGTAAAATTTAGCTTTTAACATAAGCCAGTAAGTATATTCATAGTATATCTTTATTAGTGGTATTTTTTGTTTTATGTATATGTGGGCTCCGAAAAATTCCATTTTGGTATGTATGATCCCGGCCTCTCCATGTCATCAGTCTATTTATTTTTAAGTGTTTGTGTGACGACGACGATAGAGAGTTTTAACGAGATTAGGTTCCGGGGGAATTTTCAGAAGGCAGATTGGGTTTTAGATAAGACACTACCCAGAGATTTCGCCCTCATTTAGTGAGGACTTTTTGATATGAGTTCTGATTTCCTATAGGCGCAAGCCCCTATAGTTAATTACCCCTCCCAATAACGAGAGAGA